AATTTTAATATATCACAGTCAAGATATTTAAAAGCTTCACATATTTGGACGTTTCATAGCATTTTATACAATTTGTGTTGGAAACTAGAAAATTACCTTTTCTTATTCAAGTTTCGCACCTTCCAGAAATAAGAAAACCGAATTTCAAAGAAATTCTAAAGCGCCATCTACATGTGAGCAGTGCTTTTCGTTTAGCCGGCGCATTGCCAACCATTGCAAACTATTGCAGACGCACGACTATCGCATGGCTCTGATGGTTGATCAGAGCAACGCTGCTCAAAACCACTAAACATATGTGCGTGTTTTGTTTTTGGCGCGCATTTCTCACACTGTTGTGCGTGCGTTGTGTGTGTGGCGCGCGTAAACGAAGAGGCGAGAGAGTTGGGAGCGGCAACTGCGTTTGCAATTAACACATAAATAGATAAACATCGACAACAAGTGGGCCAGGATGCCAGCCGGCGCAGTGAAAACACCAAACACGGCCCGCGCGAAAGATGCAAATGCAACCAAGTCCGCGGATCGCAATGGCAGTACCGGGAGCGGCGGCAAGAAATTCGTGCAGACGCGTCTGCCCTTTAAGTTGATAGCGCCGCTGGCGAAGGGCGGCGCAGCAGATGCAGCGGCGACAAAGGCAGCGGCGTCCACCTCGTCGGCTGTCGAACTGGACCTGGACCTGGAGGAGGCGGAGCCGCGCGCCGAGCCGCGCAAGCGCAAGTTGTCCTATGGCAGCGAGTCGCCGCCGGAGACGGAGCAGCTGCGTCGCTCCAACAGCAAAGAGAATCTGCAGCTGTTTGCTGCGGCCACTGCGACCTACAAGAAGCCCAAGACAACGGAGGCCAATGCCGACGATGTCATCGAGCTGGATGACGATGAGCACGAGGACAACGACAACGACAAGGACAACAACAACGACGAGAAAAAGGACAGCGCCAAGAAAGAAGAAGATAGGCAGGCAAAGGGCAACGTTAAGGAGAAGAAGTTGAAGGAGAAGCCAACAGATGGCGCCACTCACACGCCCATTCAAATCAAGCTGCCGTTGGGCAACAAGCGAGTCAAGCGTCGCAAATCCCTAAAGAAATCGGAGGCAGCGCAGCAATCGCCGCAGCCGAAGCTGGGGTCAAGCGCTGAGCGCAGCGACTCCAGCGATGACATCGAGGCCATAGCCGAGAGCCTCAACCCACAGAAGCGAGCCAAGGTGATTGAAGTGGAGTCGATGGCATCGCCCAAGACGTCGAAGACATCCAAGCCGAATGGAGCCAAGGCGGACACTAGAGTCCAAGTGAAAGCTTCAACAGCGAGTGCAAAGTCCAAGAAGGAAGGCAAGTCCAAGGAGCAAGCGAAGGTAGAGCCGAAAGCAGTTGAGGATGAGGATGTGGTGCTGCTGGATAGCAGCGCTGAGCTGGAGGCTGAGGAGGCTGAACCGGAAGCTGAAGCTGAAGCCGTGGTGAAGCAGCCCAGCCAGCCCAGCGCCGACATGGACGTGGACGTGGACACAGACACGCTGATCACATCGCCGGAGAAGGAGCAGAACACGAAACAGGAGGAGTCGTCGGAGACGGAGAAGGAGACGGAAGAGGAGGGCAAGTCGGCTAGCGCTGCGCCCGTCGTGGCGGAGAAGCTGCCAAATCTGACGCCCAAGCAGCAGCGGCTCATGGAGCAGCGGCGGAAGGCGCGCGAGGAGAAGGAGCGCAAGCTGCAGGAGGAGCGGCGCCTCAAGCAGCTGGAGAAGGAGCAGCGCGAGCAGCAGCGGAAGGCCGAGCGCGACTTGAAGGAGGAGCAGCGGCGCAAAGAGCGCGAGGACAAGGAGGAGGCGCGCCGCAAGGAGCGCGAGGAGAAGGAGCGCAAGCGTCAGGCCGAGAACGAGGAGAAGGAGCGCAAACGGCAGGCCGAGAACGAGGAGAAGCGCAAGCGCAACGAGGCCAAGGAGGAGATACAGCGCAAGAAGGACGAGGAGCGCCGCCGCAAGGAGCAGGAGAAGGAGGAGGCGGAGCTGAAGAAGAAACGCGCCGCCGCCACATTCAGCAAATTCTTTGTGCCCAAGCAGCCGCGGCAGTCCATCAGCGGCTCACTGGAGCACGAGCAGAACAGCAGCGACTGCGATCCCAGCCACATGGGCAACCAGCAGCTCGCCTTCCGGCCCTTCCAGGTGAAGGACGACATGATCGTGGCCCCCGTCACACGCACCACACTGGCCGCCGACACGCGCCAGCTGCTGGACACGCTCTTCCATGTGCCGGACGACGACGAGGAGGATGGGCAGGATCTCAACGAGAGCATTGGACGCACCAAGCGTCCCACACGCGCCCATCTCTATCTGAACGAACTGAGCCAGGGCAAGCGCAAGCCGCTGGCCAGCAAGCGGGACGCGCGGCTGCAGCGGTGCGCCAAGGACGAGGAGGATGACGACGACGTCCAGGTGGTCGGTAAGTACTGCGTAGCGATGCCCTTGGACGGCTCCACTATTTTCATCTCTGCATCGCTTCCAGATGACCTGGTCAACGCGGTGGGCACGCCCATCGTGGTGGAGCGGCCGAAGCAGGTGCCATGGATGCGGGCCAAGTACTTGCACTTTGCGGACAATCGTCGGCCGCCCTACTACGGCACCTGGCGCAAGCGCAGCCAAGTGATCACCGCCCGCCGCCCACTGGGACAGGATAAGGTGCGCCATAGATTCCATAAGTCAATGTGCTTCCATAGCTTAAATCTTTGTATTCCCATATGACAGGCTTACTTCGACTACGAGGTGGACTCGGACTGCGAGTGGGAGGAGGAGGAGCCCGGGGAGTCGCTGAGCGCCAGCGAGGATGAGAAGGAGCGCGAGTCCGAGGAGGAATCGGAGGAGGAGTACAACGAATGGTTTGTGCCCCATGGCCATCTCAGCGACGAGGAGCTGCAGAACGATGGCGAGCTGGAGGATGGCAATACACGCGAGGCGCAGAAGGCCAAGCTGCAGGTGCTGCAGCAGGAGTTCGCCCAGGAGATGAAGAAGCAGACCAAGAAGATCAAGCCCCGCCTCCTGGGGCCCGTCTGGCTGGACGAGGACGGCAACAAGTCGCAGCTGTGCCCGGCTGTCTTCATCCAGACCATCGACATGTACGGCTGCTGGCAGCTGCAGCCGCTCACGCTGGAGCCGCCGCAGGAGTCCGGCGAGGAGGAGGAGCCCTTGGAGGAGGCCAAGGCGAAGCCAGCCACGCTGCAGCTGGACGAGCAGCTGCTGCAGCAGCTGGTCCGGCTTATACACGGCAACAGCAACGCCAAAATGTTCCTCATCGCCGAGTACCTGGAGTATCTGAAGACCCAGATTACGCCGGAGTCCCAAACAATGCTACCCTCAAAGACGATGCTGCGCGAGAAGTTCGATGAGCTGGCCACCTGGAAGCCCGTCGAGAAGTCCGTTGGCGCCGAGGCAAAGAAGTCGAAGAAGCCCAAGAAGCGCCTCTGCTGGGTGGTCGCGGCGGAAACGCTGCACAGATTCCACCTGGACGAGCTGACGCTGCAAAATCAATGGAACTACACGCTCACGCCCAAGGTCAGCAAGGCGGACACCTCCTTGCCAGAGGCGTCGCTTGCCGTTGAGGCGGCTGATGCGCCTGGCACACCCAAGACAGACGCCGACAAAGCGGGCAAGGCCAAGGACTCGGCGGCCAGCACGCCCACCGCGTCCACAGGCACACCATCGACGGCCGCCACAAGAGCCTCGAGCGTCAAGAAACGCGTCAATCTGCTCATGTCCGTGCCGCGCGATCAGCAGTTCCATGCGGCCACCAAGAACGCGCTCATCAGCCAGTATCTGCGCAAGAGCGACGACCCGCCCACCAAGCAGAAGCCATCGCCAGCTCCGCCGCCAGGCGGCTGCAGCGACGATGTTGTTCTGCTCTCCGACTAGTCCGGCGATCCCGACTAGCCGGGGAATGATATACGACCCTGTCGCGCCTCTAGCATCTAAGTTTCTCTAGCCGTAGTGTTCACTGTACCAGCCGAGTGTGCCGTACTGTACTTTGATAGTCCGGCAATCCAAGTAACGCAATATCCATCCACTTGCCACTCCGGCGGAATATTTATGAATAAACAATTTTTTTTTCTCCTAATTATAATTTTTACTGCAAATAAATATTTATATTTATATGCAATGAGGAAAAGAAATTCTTTTAAAATACAAAATTTTAAATGTATCAGAAATACGAAATAAATCCTAAGATAAATAAGAATTTAATAATTCAGAATTTATTTACAATCTGGCACTATATATTACCTTCATATATGTATGACTAAATACTATATAGTATATCATATAGGTTGTATGGAGAATCTACAATTTCAGAGGCTAGTTTCAATCTGTAATAAATATTGTTGTACAAGAGTATATATGCACGAGTATATTTATATATCATTTAAATAGTAATTCCATTTTCACTTGGTGTCTTATCTAGGGAACATGAGTTAACTCTGGCATGAGTAGAGCCAGTCAAAAATATGAAATATAATGGATCGATTTCAATATCAGATTTTTTTTCATAAATGCCTCGAACCTATCTAATAGAGAAAGTCCAGAGTATAATGAGTTTGTTAAAAGATAACTGACAAAACGAGGCGTGGCAGTACCTATCAAGCATATACATTCCTGATTAGTACAACGATCTGAGTCGACCTAGCCCTGTCCGCCAGACTGTGTGAAGGATCTCATATCGTATAAGATACGTAACTATTTCAGTAAATCCATCTATTCCTCTATATTTTTTGATTTATCGATTTTTCATGATTAAATTATATCTCGTATCGATAGATGTATGTATGTATACAACTTCTTTTGTCATATTTCGTATACCCGTTCCACACATCACTGTAGTTCACCTTTTAATATAGACAATATGTTGAAGAATTTGCAGGTTTACTAAATTCCTACATTTTTAATGGAATATGCAGATCATGTGCTGAAAATTGCATTGAAATCCGTTAATTAAAGCAGAAGTTATCAAACAAAAGGCTATGGAGTGTATTTCTCAAAACACAGATCCATCTGCTAATCGAGCACCGTCGACTAAAGTTCTATTGCGCGTATAGGCTTTAAACTTTTTTTATTTTTATTTTTTCATTTATTTTTAAATTAATTTAAACATTATTAAATATACATTCTCTTAAGGTGACCGACAAAAAAGATTGCTGAAATACAGATACTTGAGTTTGTCATTGTTTTTCGATTTTATTTTTCAAAACTTTACTGTCGTTGCGCTATGATTGTATATGGGTATGTGTGTGTGTGTTTGGGTGTGTGTGTGTGTGTGTGTGGGTGTATATGTGTATTCCTGTAAGCCTTAATAGATTTTATCTTTAATATAAATTTCCCTTTATTGCATATTTATCGTTGTCGTCGTCAGTTTCGCCTCCCAATTTAAATGGAGCTATCCTAAGTCCAGCCCTGCCCATGCTACCCGGAACCCTAATCCAATATATGTATGTATGTCTATGTGTATACCCCCCCAATAGGCTTTTCGAGACATCCCATTTCATGTGCTATCTACATTCGATCGATGAAATTCATATTTTTGAAATAAAAATCACAATTTGAAGGCGATGCTAATTTGAAATGATCAACCACATACATATACCTTGTACAAAAACTAGTTATAGATGGAACGCACATGTCGTCTACCATATATGTATATAAATATGCGCAGATGTACCGTTATATTATATATAATAAGGCAAATACGTCGAGGGACAAGTTGTTGCAGAAAGTTG